TTGAACCCCGAGTCGGTTCGGATGATTTAGACCCGCTACGGGAGAGCGGAGGTGGATCTGTTCGCCTTGTATGCTCTAAAATGGGGAGTGTTTGTGAAATGGTGCCATGATGTTCATATCGACCCGGCTGCTTGCTCCGTGTCGGATGTGCTGCGTTTTCTACAGTAAAGACTGGATAGTGGATCTCTGCCATCAACACTGAAAGTCTATGTGGCCGCTATTTCCTCGTTTCGTTCCCCGCTGGGCGGGCAATCGATCAGTAGGCACGCGTTGGTGGTGAGTTTTCTTAAGGGAACCAGAAGATTGCATCCCCGACGTCCGCCTTCAGTCCCGCCCTGGGACCTAGAGGTGGTGTTAAGAGCTCTTTCACAGCCATCATTCGAGCCTTTAGCATCCGTTAATATGAAGGAGTTATCTCTCAAAAGTGCACTTCTTCTTGCCCTCGCTTCGGCTAAGCGCATAGGGGATTTACATGCGTTTTCTGTGGACAGTGACTGTATTCGCTTCGGACCCGGCGACTGCAGCGTCACTCTCCGGCCGAGGCCGGGCTACGTGCCTAAATCACTATCTACCCCCTTCATAGCGCAGACTGTTTCGCTGTCTGCCGTCATCTGAGTCATCGACCTCGCGTGATGCGGACGCTCAGACTTCGGTGTGCCCCGTCAGGGCTTTGAGGATTTATATTGACCGTTCGGCCAGCTTTCGGCAATCTGACCAGCTTTTCATGTGCTACGGTGTTTGTGCGAAGGGCCGGGCCATGTCAAAACAGAGACTTTCCCACTGGATTGTGGACGCTATCACGGCTACTTATACGAGCCAAGGTTTCGAATGCCCCTTTCACATTAGGGCCTACTCAACAAGGGCTGAATTACCTGGGTGACATACTAATTCTCGTGAGATTCGGACATGCGTCTACTTAAAGTGCGTCCGAATATGCCTACTTACCTTATATTGTAGGAGAAAAGAGTATGTGAAGAAAGAAGTATGTCCGAAACCTCAGTATTCATAAAAGAGTAGGCGAGAAATCGTCTCCGGTTACTATCGTAACCTCGGTTCCCTGAGAGCGGGAACGAGACATCACGGTGGTCGCCGTGTTCGCTGCTCGATCAGCTAAGCTGCGTTCAGTATCAGATTCTGACGTAATTGTCGCGTGCACCGCATTTTATACTGCCTCTCGAGCTCGTCAGTATTTGCATGCGATTTGCATACTTCGCGTCAATTGGCCAGTCATTTGGACTGGCGGGAGCCAATAGGACTTCAGGAAAGGTTGGAAGTGAAGGAGTTCCCATAACGGAGAAATATCTCCGCGATGTCTCGTTCCCGCTCTCAGGGAACCGAGGTTACAATAGTAACCGGAGCGTTTTCCGACCTCAAAACCCACTTTGTTTCAGCTCTCATTCTTGTAGCTCGTGATCCTTCACGTCATAATTTTTACCGTTGTGGCCCGGTTCTCGAAGGCGGCCCATTTCATTCCCTTACCCAAATTGCCTTCTGCCAAGGAGACAGCGGCCACTGTCGTAGATCAGGTATTTTGCATTCATGGCCCCCCAACGGACGTGGTTTCCAACAGGGGACCCCAATTTGTGTCCAGATTTTGGAGTGAGTTTTGTAGGTTACTGGGGGCGAGTGTCAGTCTTTCCTCTGGTTTCCACCCTCAGAGCAATGGCCAGACGGAGCGGGCCAACCAGGACTTAGAGAGAGTGTTACGATGTTTGGTGTCTCAGAATCCTTCCTTCTGGAGCCAGCAACTCTCATGGGTTGAGTACGCTCATAACTCATTTCCAGTATCATCCACAGGCCTATCGCTGTTTCAGTGTAGTTTAGGTTACCAACCACCCATCTTTCTGAGCCTGGAATCCGAAGTTGCGGCTCCTGCTCTGGACTGTTTGTTGTCGTTATGGTTGGATTACTGCTTGGTTCCTGTCCCGGATTGTGCATGCCCATTGCAGTCACCGTGCTACCAGTGGACTATTTCTCCTGCACCTTAGATTTTGATCTCTGTCTGCTGCCAATCTCTGCTTCTCCAATAAACTGTTATTTGCTGAACTTGCATCTGAATCCTCTATTATTTCCCGTGAAACAAAACTATTATACTGTATATAATTAAACTGTGTATATAAAATGATTTTATTTAGTGTCATATTTGTGATTTTTTTTAATGAAATTTTTTATCTAAAATTAGTTTTGAAGAATAGCTTGTTATGTTCGTATATTCGTTATGAAGAATAGCTTATTTGTTATGAAGTTGATTTAAAAATTCTTAAAACAAATTTTAAGAAGTTAAAGGTGCAATAGGTGATTGTCTTCAGTAACATTTTTTTGTTATGCTGGTTGAAAGTCTCTTCACATCCCGATAGCAATCATTATGTTAAGTGGCCGAAATATACAGGCATTTATATGTATTTATATATTCTTTGGAAGGCATAGGACCAATAAATATTCATCCAATCAAAATGTTTGGTCCGAGGCTTTCCTACCTGCCTGTCAACATATGTATTTGCATACCTCTGTGCGCCCTGTTCGCGCAGACAGGATACGTCATCAGCGCGTTCACATATGCTATGCAGACAGAGCAAGAGTGGCCGGCAAACAACAAACTGACCTTCCTTCTTTCCTTGGTATTGTAGTACTGTTACTAAATGTACTATAAAGTTTTCTCACCCGTGAATGACACATGATGTATTGTAGTAATGATGTCTCTGGTCATCTGGTCTGTGCACGTTCAGGAGGCGTGGCTTTGGACAGTGATTTGTAGGGAGGGTGGGACGTTCGCTTTCAGTGCTATCAGGCTAAAGTTAGCATTTTCCAAGATGTCCTACTGCACCTTTAAAAGGAAAAAAAAATGAATTCTTGATAATATCTTTAAAATGAGAGAAATCACTGACATAAGTTAGGCTATTTTACTTTATTCGACTGCAGAAAAACGAATAGTCTAAAACCATTTAACTTGCAATGATATCTTATGAAATAAAATAAAGACAAGAAATAAATCACAACAAGATGTATAATCAAGAAAAATATTTGACAAAATTACAAAATGAATGCTGAATTATGTTTGACAGTGAATGCATCTCCATAGCCGCTAATACAATCACTGGCGTCAGTGGCAAATATTTAACATGTTTTAAAAAATCTTTGTGAAAACGACTGGTAACGACTGGTTTTTGATTTCTAAGACTATAATCTTTAGACACCACACCCTATACTATTTTTCTGACGACTGCAAACAGTGACTGAGCCCAACTGGAACAGACCCGGTCCGACTGGGCACAATCTGTCGTCAAGACCAAATTCCATTCATAATCGGCATGAGTCATGACAGTCATGTAGTGTGTTCTCTGCTTTAAATCCACACAATCTCCGATTGATATCTGAGGCTAAGCGTATCCCATCATGCATCATGTTCTGGAAATCGTCAAACTTTTTGCTGAGATCTCGTGAAATGTCACTGAAACCTTTCTAGTGTATGTGAAATATTAATAATAATTAGATTTTGCATATAATTTGGTAATAAAACATAAGTATTTGCGCATTTTATTGGTGCAAAGCTGAGTATGTGTGTTTTGTACAACATTTGCAACTGCATTTTATCTCTTAATTAGAAGCACCACTAATTAAATTGTATTGTCTGTTATAAGGATTACTGAACAGACATTTAGAAGTTTATTTTAAAATACAAAGTACTGAAAATCACAATAAAGCTCTGTAAACACTTGCATTTTTAAAACATATAAGTGTGTCCCGTCAGGTAATGAAAGTTCTACACACACTTTGTCTTCACGCTCACTTGAACACTTGGGCCAATTACAGGATAAATAACGTAATGCAAGTAGACAAGTGGTCAAGTGCAAAGACCGCAAGTGTGCGTCCCAAATCGCGTACTTACTTATGCACTATTCTATGACGTTTTGTAGTATAAATAGTGCGAGTAGTGCGTTCACACACTGAAAATTCCAAAAAGGAAAAGTGCACTTTAATTACCCGGATGATGCACTTAAATAACCGAAAAAACAACGTTGGACACGTCATGCACTCAACTGTTGCAGCTTTAATTACGTAGCGAAGGAGGAGGGGCTATCAGACTCCAATTATGAATGACAAAATAACCTTATATAATTCATACCCTACATCAGGAGTGCCCAACCCTGCTCCTGGCGATCGACTGTCCTGCAAAGTTCAGCTCCAACCCTAATCAAACACAACTGAAATTTATATATATATGATCATTTACACTCAATATGTTATTGCATACTGTTTTATAATGTACTACAGTATTGAGGTATAAATATCTGCCACCTAACTACTATTTACACTCCTGTTGCTAAAGAAAATGCTGCTATTTTAGTGTAAACAGAATTGATCATTATTTGCACTTAGTGTAACTAGAATATATCGCTTTTTAATATATCGCCACTTAGTGTAACTACCAAAAATATCAATAAAGACAGCTCAGTGTTGATTTAGTTCTGTCCAATATGTAAAGTTAATCAATTATGAAATGAGTTCAATTGGGCAATATAGCATTGTTTACTAGTATGAAGCCTTATTAAACAAGCCTTTGTAAAAAGAACAGTTAGCTCATTTGTTTCTAAGGTAACAACCTTGACAGCTGTGCTGAATTAATGTTCAGTGTTTGTCATGTGACAGCACTTAAGCATACTACTCTGAAACATTTATTGCTTATTGTATACTGTTCCACACACTATTCTTTAAAAAAAATAGTAGGCCGTATGCACTGTGTACTGTGCAGTAAGCAAGTATGCCATTTCGTACACAGCCCATGAAAAAAGGCCTATTCTACCCGTAAGTAGTAGACCATCCCGAAAATCTTTGGCATACTTATTTCAACATACTGCGATTTGGGACATACTAATTCTATTTTTGAATACTATTTAGGATGGATAGTATGCGAATTGGGACGCAGCATGAGTATTTGGGCGGGCCCTTACTTACGAAAACGCTTTAGGTTAACTTTTTGGTCACACTGTAGACCCGTAGAAGAAGGCGTGCCTAGTAACGCGGTTGTCAGGAAGACATTTGGGAGAAAATGTGTGCATCAGTATGATTTGTTTACCTTTTGACTGATACGCCAGCCGTGTTTATGAACACGTTACTTATCGATGAATATTTCGGGTCTTAAGATTGATATCAGTTTTGTCCACGTTCATCGTTCAGGATCTCCTCAATCCTCTCGGTTGGGTGGAGTGTTTTTCTTCACTCTGTTGGAATTCGTCCCGCGCACATCGTCTCCAGGATGACCGCAGGGTTCAAGACCACAGTTTAAGGTGATGCTTAAGCATTAAATATGCAGATATCCACGTTCTCCATGTGTTTGATTTGATGACACTGTAAAAGTAGTGAGCAACATGCTAACCCAACAACACATGTCAAATTAAACCAAAAAACAGACTTGGGATATTCAGATCATACTTCGTCACAACTTCTCATAAATGTTTTTTATCTTATAATTTATGTTGTGAGACAGACACTATAAGTACAAACACTATGTAATGTATAATGTTGTACATAAACAAATTTGATTAACACATTTTAAAAAGAAAGGTGCCAAAATCCCTCATAACTATTTACGAGTAACCAAAGATACAGAAATGAGGGTCGTTGCGTGCCAAATCTACCACATTTCAGAAACTGCTTGGCTTTTTTTATTTTAATTTTATTTGTTTGTTTGTTTTTTTCTGAAGAAAGACAAACATGTATTGATAAAAGCTAAAATATTAGATGCCATCCAGAAATATTTACTAAGTACATTTACATTTATTTTATTTTTTCTAGTTATCATTATTTCTTAAATGTACGTTATCTTTTACTTTTCGTATGTAACGTTATACGATTATTCCCTTCATTGATTTTATATACTTTTTTTCTTTTTTAAGAAAGCTTCTCAATGTTTTCCTGAAAGTGTTTGTATATATTCATCTGTTTTTGAATTGAAAAAAATCTATATTTATTAGGACACTTTCTCTGAGTAATCCATTGTTTTGTAGAAGGGGGTCATGACATTTTTCACCTTAGATTTGGAAGCAAGTCACAGGAGGGGAAAACTAACTTTAGCAACATGGATGCATCGTACATTTATTTTTACACAGAGATTGGTAGGTCTATTAGTAAAATCAATTGATGTTTGCAATCCTTATTACATTATATGCCGATGGTGACAGTTCAAAAATGGGGAAATTAACTTTTAAGGCCTTTAAATATACATTTATACCATGGCTGTAATTCATCACATAAATGATAGACATCTACCGAATATCACAACTAGGGATATGCCGGTATCAAATTTTCATGTTGCGATTAATTGCTAATGCTTTTATTACGGTATACGGTATTATCACGATATTGAAATGAAGTAAAAAAAAAGTGCTGTCATAATACAGTATAACAGGTTTAATAACTTTTTTCTTATAACAAAAATAACTGAACATTTAAATGCAAAATTAAATTAAAGTGCAAAAGAACTATAAAGACCAATAGGTATCACTTTACAATAAGACCTCATTAGTTAACCTTAGTTAATGCATTAACATTCACAATGAGCAATAGCTACATTTGCTACAGAAGTTATTAATCCTTGTTTAAAAAATACAAGTCTTAGTTCATGTTAGCTCATTAAATAACACAGCTGCAACTCTCGATTTTAACATCCTGTTATTAAATATTGGAATACCTAAGATTAATGAATGTTCAGAAGAATTTTTCATTGGCAGTTTATGTTAACTAATGAATTAACTAATGTTAACTAATGAAGCCCTAATGTAAAGTGTGACCGAACAATAAAGAATCAAAACACTTTCAAACAATAAATATTATTATTTGAATATAATAATATTCAAATATAATACAATAAATTTTATTATTATTATTATTATTTCTGCAGTTTAGCGCCATCTGCTGTCAGAGAGTGAAAGTGCGCTTTCATCCAGAACGTCTCTCACATGTTTCCGCCATGTGCTTCTCGTCCGCGCTT